GGCCGCGGCGGCGCAGCAGCAGCACCAGCTGGCCGTGGCCGCGGGCCTCATGAAACAGGAGCCGCCCGGCCCCGGCGCGGGCCCCGACGGCGCGGAGGCCACCGGCCCGCTCTACCCCAGGTGAGCGGTACCCACGGACACGCCGCTGGCCACGGTGAGCGGCGGTCAGGGGAGGCCGGAGAATCTCGTCTGCGAGATTCCCATCTTCATCAGCTTCGCCAGCCTCAAAATAATGGGGTGATTTTCTAGTCCAATTATTATATTGGGAACTCTATGCGTACGATCGGGAGATATTTTAGAACTCACGTCAGCAAGATTTCATCGATCAACAACCTCGTCAAATCGAAACCATTCGGGTAATTCTATACATCCCATAAGAATATATGATCGGGAGTGATCTGATAATTCGGTCTGCAAGATTTCATGAATAACAGCTCTGTGGTTTCCAATATATCATGGAGATTATGTATATGCAATTAGAATATAATCCGAATCCACACATTCACACAATCGAGAGTTATTAAAATACTATATTGGGATCATGTCGAATTTAATCTTTCAAAATGTGCCAATGATTCCAATGATGGTAACCCCCTTTATTTTGATCATTGTAAGATCACACAAGTTTTATTTGGAAGCAAATAGAAATATGTTATAACCACAAATTGCGCATTGTGTTCTGCGTAGATGTTATGTTCTTTGAACTAATACATTCTCGTGTGTACACAGTTAACAAGGTCGGAATTAATCGAAAGAGAAAATTGCCAAAGGAACCGTTTCCATCTAAATCAATTAACTGCGTGACCTCCGCACTCATTTGTTTGTTCCTACAAGGGAGAGTAAAAATAGAAAAATAGCATTTGGCATGACGGAGCCTCCAGTAAATGCTGTTCTTGGCCCAGGCCCGCAAAAGTTTAACCGACAAGGATGTTCGATTGGATTTTCCCTGGAAAGGAAAAAATTAAAAAAATTTGGAATTGGAGAATCATATGAAATTAAGGGGTTTGTCGTCACCTCATCATCGGTGAGCAGATCTGCTCACGTTTTCCTAAACGAACACTGCTCCACGTAACTAAAATGTGTGTACAAGCGATTTATCCTTGCGTAACTACAGTTCCAATTTAATGTAGACATTTGTTGACATTCAGAACAGAAGCACAGAGGAAACTTTGAACTTTTCACGATTGTTCTCAGAGGCCTTTGACGACTCTTTGAATCAAACGCTATGCCTAGATTCACCTTGGCAGGCCGCTGCCTGTAATGCGGAGCAAACTGGATGCAAAGTTCAGGGGCAAATTTGTTACATGTGAAAAATGTTTAATCTGAAGGTCCTAGAGCTCTATTTCTGACAGATCAGCGGTTGAATTCAGCTACTCTCGGAAGAATAATTAAAGCGAACGGTTGCTCTGATCGGTTTTTTAAAAACAAAAGTAGGCGATTGCTGTATCGAACTCTAACAAATGAGCCACGGGCCGCGCACCATCTTTCATTCCTCCTTGTTATCTCTTCTCCTCTTACACACACTTTCATTTGGACTTCAATATCACACGTGTGGAGGCAAGTGAGGAGCTTAGAGCTTATCCCTGCGGTGGTGTCTTGCTGAGGGCGATACTTCGAGACGGGAAATGTGCAGGATGTGTACGTCGTAGCCGATTCACACGTTCCAGTCGTGGAGGGAAACAGGCACTGCACTTATGGACTCATGACATCAGTAATATACACGACTTGAATTAATACTCACTCACTTAAATGTCGATTTTTGTATGCTTACTCCCATTTAGAGCTGAACGACGAAGTAAATCTTGAACGTCTGAACTATTTCTCGATGGCTACCTTCGGCAGCTACGAATAGATTTGCCTAGTGGCGGCCGCCACCGCTGTCTGTTTTGGGAGTGTACTATAAAAAGGGACCGCTTTGACAGGAGCTGCTTGGCCATCGCTGCCAATATAACTGCAAGTAACGACCATGCACTCATTTTGTCAGTGCATACGTTTCCAATTAGCTCATTTGTAAATGACTTCACCACTATCTCCCAGCATGACGTTCATTTGTTTCCCAACCTGTCCAAGTGGTCTCGTCTTAGAGTAGTTCCTCTCTACCGGGGCGCAGGCGTCGGTGGGAGGCGAGCGAGCGCGCGGGGGCGGCTCGGGAACGGCGGCGTAACGGCCAGGCGCGCGCTCTCCGCAGGCCCATGTACTACGGCGACCCGGGGTCGGGCGGGCCGCTGCCGCCGGGCTTCCCGTCGGCCGCCATCAACCTGTCGGTGAAGTGCGTGGCGGCGGCGCAGGCGGCGGCGCAGGCGGCCGCGCTCAAGGCGGCGCAGGCCCAGCAGGCGCAGCAGGCCGAGCCCACGTCCCCCGGCGGCTCCGTCATGGACCTGAGCACCTCCAGCGTCACCTCCACCTCGCCGCAGGTCAGTGCTCCACGCCCGCGCCGGCACCGGCCAACTTCGGTCGCACTGCAACACTGCCTTACTTACACACACACGTAGAACTCAAGTTACTTTTTGGACCCCGGCGAAAAATTCGCACTTCGAAAATAATCATCGTTTCACAAATGTAATACCTCTATTCTGAAGCTCGCATTTCAAAAACCTATTTCTCCTCGAAGTGTGGGATTCCATCCAACGCTGTATTAGAACCTTGAAAAGTGTCTCCCTACGTGATTTAAGACATGAGAAAGTAATTCGTGTCCCTGCAGAAATATGAAAACTTTAAACGCACCGTCTCCATATTTGTTAACGAACGGGGAAGTATGTTACACTATACAATGTGATTCGGTTTGCTTGTACACCTGCATTCACCCACTCGCCTAATTATTATTATTATTATTATTATTATTATTATTATTATTATTATTATTATTATTATTATTACTCGTTTGTGATCCCCATTGGTTCACTTAATATTCTTGTTTTATTCTTTTATTTTCATCTTTTTCTCTTCTTACCTCGTGTATGTTTCTTCATGGTCACGCATTGAGCCATTTCTAGAAAAAATACGGTGGTCTGGGTGTAATCGATCTCATGGATGTCAGGAATAGTCTTAGAAGCATGCAGAAAATCAGATACATATTTCGGAACAATGGCCGTAATCATACATAACCTTGCTATTCACTGGATAGTACTTACGTCAACATTCCAATAATACGATATGAGCGATGTTCTTCTCAAACCAATGTTCAAAATATGTATTTGAGAAGTTGCATTGATGTTCAAATCCCCGAAGATGACCGTTTTGGCGATGCGTCCGTCTCAAGAGTAGGCAGCAATTCTCTTCAACGTGTAACATTGTCTGTAAGATCATTCAATATTATTTCCTGCTCCGTTTGCCTCCCTTATAAATTCACAAATTATTTTATTCCATGATCTCCTTCTTCAATTGTCTCCGAGTTCCACCACCCTTTCGCCTCCACCAGACCTTCTTCTACTTCATTCTTACCCATCAAACCCCACCCTTTAACCTCACCTTCGAAACCTCCGCTCATGGGGCTCAGCTCTCTTCTCCGCTCCCGTCGCCCTCTCGGCCTTTGCCGCGCCGTCTGCCGCCGCCGCTGCCGCCTGATTGAGATTCGGACTCCGTACCCAACTTGACTCGATGCGCTCCCGCCCCGCCGCCGCCGCGAACTTCGCAAATCCCCGAAAGGGCGAGGGGCGCCCTTGCGTCGGCGGCGGCGGCGGTGGGGGAGGGCGGGAAGAGAGCCGACTTTTGGCGGAGGGCGGCCGGGCGATGCGGAGGAAATGTGCCGGCGCGTAATAGAAGGGCGCGAGGCGAAAAGAGGGAACGAAATAGAGTTGGCCGCGGGCTAGGTGAGGCGCCGCTAATGAGTCATTGACACGTGATGAAACCAACAACAGCTCTGCAGGGGAGGCCGATTGACAGCCATGCGGCGCGAGGGGACTGGCAATGCAAGAATTTGCTCGAGATTGTATGGGGAGCAAAAGATGTTGGCAGTGATGAAAACGTGTCCAATTTACTGTAGCTTTAAGTGAGGCGAGGGATTAAGATTTTAGTTTTTGAGAAGTTGGAGTGCAAGTGACAGGAAGAGCAAAGAATGTTACGTATAGAAGAGAACAAATTTTAGTCGTCTGAAAAGTTGTATAGCATATTGATCGTTATTGCCATAGATTGTTGAAATTTTCTTAGAAATCAAGCTTCTTCAACAAATATCTGGTGAAAACTCTAACTTATTCTAAATGAGTTGCGAGATCTTTGCGATTATGTTTCATTGGACTCGGTTATTTTCATAACATAAACAACTTCTCTTTGACTCGCGATTCGTAATTACTTTCAGCTCATTAACTGGGTCTATATTTAAGTATACTGGGTCTATTTTTATAGTGTTTACTTCCAATATTTATCTTCGTGAATTGTTGTTTGCCTTTTCTATGCCAATATTTCTCGTTGCGAATTGTATTGATTATCTCGCTAAGAAATATGTGGTGTCAATTTCCCCCACAACCATATTTTTTCCATACTATTCTTTATTTTGTTTTGCATCTTTTCTTACTAGTCCTTTTGTATTATTGTTATTATTATTATTATTATTATTATTATTATTATTATTACCACACGTTTTTTTCATTATATGACACACTGAGAAAAATACTTGTTCGCTGCTAACAGATGTCTGTAGGCTGCATACAGTCACTTAAGGTGTATTAAGTTTTGCAGTAGCATCGTAGATGTTAATTGTTTAACTGTACACACAATTCTCTTAATAATAAATTGCTGTGATCAAATATTTTCGTTTTTTCTCACAACCAAGTTGATTTCAACTATTCTATGGTTGTTGTGAGTTACGGATACTTTTTTCTCAGTGCAATGTGTCTCTAAGTTGTAATGCTAATTTACACTGACAGGCAGCTTTGGGCTGGGTCGTTGAATGGTCTTTTGCTCGCCTGTGTTGAAAGCTCTCGGAAGCAGGCAGATGCCTCCATGAAGAGTGTTCGCAGCCCGAGCGCAGCGGCTCTGACGCCCGCGTGGCTCTGTGGATGTGTCAGGGCGGCGCGGGCGCGGCGTACGGCAGCGCGGGGCTCAGCCCGCAGTACCGCAGCCCGCAGGCGGCCGCGTCGCCGCACCTGTCCGCGTCGCCGCAGGTGCCGTCGCCGCAGGGCCAGACGCTCGACCTGAGCGTGACGCGCGTGCCGCCCAGGTCAGTGCCACGCCCCCCACGCGAGGCGGTGCCCGCTGCCCGGCCGCGCCGCCGGGTCGCGGGCGCTGCACGCCTCGGCGAAGTAGGCGGACTGAACGAACGAAGTCACAGTGGGCTAAAGAGTTGATCGAAGGGACCTAGTTCCTTTTGATGACGGGTGCAATCGTATGATGGAAGACGAACTGTAAATCAAAATTGTGTGGTTATTACAGTCTCTCAGCTTTCATTCAACTCATGAATAAACACATTTTTATATGGCCTACAATTTTCATTGGTACCACAATACAGGTTCATTCTCGAGAATTCATGAAGAGTTTTTAAAATTTCGTTGAATTTCTAAGATCTTTTACTATTAAATTATTCAAACTCACAACTTTCAATTCTTTTACTTCAAAATGACTTCGTTTTTCAAGCCATTTAGAAAATTAGATTACGTTTGACAGTTCTGAAGCACTTATGTCCAATATACAGTTCATAAACTGATTCATCTGAAATCTGATGTAGCTAAGTATGTTTATGTGCCAGGGCTTACTGTTTTCTCAACTGTCAAATATACATAAAAATCTAAATAGTTCATTAGTTTGGATAATATTCCCATACCTGGCGTTCCTTGTGATTTGAAATTTACTATGAAAATGAAACTTCTAACTTTTACTAATTATTCTGTAATTATAATATGTTCTTTGGCTGATAGGAATATTTTATTGTATATAATTTTCAAAATAAATCACAAGGCACTTGCAGGAACTAAGATAAAAAATTCTTATAAATATATATATATATATATATATATATATATATATATATAAATATATATATATATATATATATGTGCTAATTTATGGTAATTGTCTTGGAAAGTATAGACTTTTTAGTAGCTGCATGATTTTATTTTGACTAATTTTTGTGCGAAAATGTAAATTTATTTCATTTTGTCTTATAAAAATATATTTATTTAATAATTGCTTAGTAGATAGCTTTTTTCTACTGTTACATCTGCTTCTTTGAATACTCTCACAATACTTCACAAATTACACCACACACACATTCTTTAATTATTTTAATAGTTCTTTCAACTCTTCTCCCCAGAAGCATTACTTATGTGCTTTTTCGTATCGGTAATCGTTATGGGCCTTGTGTAAAAAATAGCCACATTCGATTGTTTTCTTCTTCTTATACATGGATTAAAAAGCATTATCTGTTGCCTCCCTCGGAAACTATCGCCCTAAATTATTGTAATTCATAATGTACTGGAGCGTGATTGCTTCCATTATGTATTACAAATATGTTTTTCGCATCTTCAGATGTGATTCTAACATTAGAAGTTAAAGTAATTACTTTATTTTGTAACTTAACCCTCTTCTGAAAATGTTTCAATTAGAGTTTAGCAATAAAACTTTCTGAAAGCCTTTATTGGCTTTCCGCTTTAGTAAGCTACCGCATGTGACAGAACGCCTCAATTCGTCTCGTGCGAGTGTGGTCTGGAAATTCGCTCGCCCAGAAAACAAATTCTCGTCCCAGGACCTGCTTCTAGAACGACCACTCGCCGGGCGCCACTAACTAGTTCTCGAAATTTCTCACAGAGGGCAACGTCGACCGTGTGGGCGAGGAATGAACGGACGGATCTCACAATACTGCTCGTTTGCTCGCGTTCCACGGACTCCCGCCGACCTCTTTCTCTCGAGCCCTGCGTCCATCCTCTCCAAAGAGCATTTGCGCCTCGCCCGCCCATAAAGTTCCCTGAATTCTGTGCGCAATTTGCGTGACGTCTGTTCGTCAGTCAACCACACAGTTTTTTCTGTCCACGCCTTTCAAATCAGTGTTAATAAGCGTTCCGCTCTGGGAAACTTCTATTCATTATTTCCACTTTTCCATCTGATTGTCTATTTTAGCACCCGTTAACTTATTTCTAAAATCATTCTCTCTTCTAAATGTATCTCTGTAATTAGTCTAGTAATATTTAAACATCTTCCATGTCTTTATCTGACTAGAGAATAAAGGGACTGCATGTCTTGCTTTTACTTTCTCCTAAGCGTTTCTACATTGACAATATTATACACTTTTGAAGCAGCACAATACACTATTTTGTGAGATGTTTTGGCAGAGTTTTCAAGATTTCCCACGTTAGAAACTCCAAAACCACGTAAAGCTCTGAATCTTCATTTCTTAATTGACGCTAAGTAATTAAACTTAATATTCTTAAAACTGTTGCAAAAGTGAAAACCAAGCGTAGTATTCACATTTTCCAGCATCTTCAGACTGATAGTGCAGCTCCTTCGGCGACTTTTTCCATTTATTATATCACACATTTCCTTCTGCTCCTTATGTTTTAATCTTTATCTAACTTTTACACTACTATAATATTTGCAATTTATTCAATGACAAACTGATGTTTTGCATTTATACGTAGCATAGAGAGTGAGCGTTTTATTTAGGTTGCCCAATATTTCCTACAATTTCAAATAAATACAATTAAAAACACAATTAACTAATTATTTTCTGTCTCAGGAGCATTTCTTTCTTTATAACAGAGAAATGTTTTAAATAGGAACGTTATATGTTAGAACACGATAAATACGATTGGTGAGAGTTGTATTGTAACAATACTTTCGGTTCAGCCCTCAGACACTGGTCTCAAAACAATAGTCATCGTCGAAATTCCTCTTCTGCTCGGGTACGCCTTGCACAGAAAGATAATATTTTTATTTTCATCTCATTAACTTCCACAGATGAGCTCAATCTCGCTGGTATTTACCCTCATTTCATTTCTTGTTTGATTTAAATTTGAAAAAGACGTCTGTCGGAATGCGGGAACGGCAGCGCTGCAGCGGCGGGAGACGGAATTTCTGGGCTGCGCAAAACAATGCACTCGCGCGTCGCGTAGAGGAGGACGAGGGAGGCGCCGCCGAGTTTTCTCTCCCTCCGCAACGTCACGCCCGCCTTGTGCCCGCTCGGAAAGAAGCCGGACGGAGAATTGACGTTTGTAAGAAGCCAGTCATGTGGGAAGGCTCCCGGATAACTGCTTGTTGGAGAAGGCGTGCCGGCGTCAGGGAGACCGAGAGTGCCGGGATGGAAAAGGGACTGGAGGAGGAGGGAAGAGCGTGTTTTCAAGATTCCTCTGCCCGACGTCTCGACTTAATTCGCGAAGAATCGCCCCCTCCCCCTTTTCATCGCGCATCGCATCGCGTCGCGTCGTCCGTTTCGCCTGAAGACGGAGCCAGGAGGCGCGCCGGGGCGGGGGCGGGGGCGGCAGACGCTCAGCACCAAAGCCGGCCGCCCCCAGACGCTTCCAGAAGCGGCGAGAAAGCGCTCTGCTTTTTGCGCCGGGAATTTGCGACGAGGCGCTCCAGGCGCAAGTAGCCTTTCGTAGCGGGCATATCCATTTCGCTGGAGAGTATAAGAACGTGATTATCTTGGAATAAAGTACAAGCGCGAGTATAAGAACATAATGTAACACCTCTCTCGGGTTTCTTCTCACCAATTTGGAATGCGCGTCTGAGGGTAGTTGTTCTAATGATTAATGAAAGTTGTTTCTCTAGTTTAATTAATTCACTTAACTTTAACGCACGCATTCACTCCTTTAACGCACGCATTTTATTCGTAAATATTCATTGCAGGAGATTATAAATATAATGCCTTCCTCAAATACCAGAAAATCTTCCAAAATTTAATATTTTTAGTGAATGTAACTGAACTTGAATAACCGTGAAAAGAGTTGCAATAATTTAATGACATATATTTTCTTACAATTTATAGATCTAACTCAAATAAATGTTCGGTAAATATTTTGATGATTTAAATAATAAGTATTTAAATTTATAAAATTTGGTTCAAGCACACGACATTTACCAAATTACTCTTTTTTTTATGAAGCATTGATGCTTCACTTTCTCCCACAGTCGCCAACAAAATAGCAAGTAAACATCGCGACTTTGGCTAATATGACTCTCCTTTGAGCATTGAAAGCAACACTGTAGATGCTTCAACCTCCGCTTCTCCGATGGGAAACTTTAAATGTTTTTGGAATTGTACTGCCTGTAATGTTGGTATCGTTTGGAATGACTTTCTTAGTCATTATGTTTACCAGTTGGTGTCTTCCTTGTAGATTGCATCACACTGTCGCCTTTTCAATTAGTTTCATTCTTAATATCTCGTTGTTTCCCTGCCAGACTCGTATACTCGTACGTAGCCGTCTCACTCGATGAAACATTATATTTCACTTAGCTGATATTACCGAATCTTCCATTTATTCATTTTTACTATATTTTTATAAGCAATGCAATGCAATTAATTTTCTCCGTCATTTTAGAACTATGTATTATTACTTAAGAATACACCTAACACCCACAGATTTCGAGTTGCCGCTCCCACACCTCTCCTACGCCCCGCACGCCCTTCCCGCGACTGCAACCGCAGATTCCGCCACGTTCTCCTGCCTCCGCCCCTTGTGCTCCTCTTAGGCTCCCCGTGCCGCCGCCGCCGCAACCATTGGCGTGGGCGCAGCGCAATGCACGGCTGAATGCGAGAGGCGTCGCGCCCGCCTCCGCCCCGCAGCGCGCAGCGACGCGTGAACCGCACACCCGCAGCTCGCGCCACGCGACGGCGCCAAGCCCAATGACACCTGCTCCGCGGGGGAGGGGGGAGTAGTGGGACGGGTGCGTGCCACCACGCGCTCGCGACGCCAACCGAGTCGCAAAACCCAAATGAATTCGGAAGTTAGTGGTGGGAATTTGGTACTGAAATAGTGTGGTGTATTTACATTACCGCATGGACCTAATAATAAGTAAACATATATCTCATCCAATTTTATTACACGATAATCACATTGTAAGGAAAAGTAAATTTGTTTCTTCTGAATGACGGACACATTTTCACAATTTGTAATATTTTAATCTTGATTATTATGAGGTATAATAAAGATATTTGTCTACTGTCAGGCAATTATATAATTTATAGTTATTATTAGGGATTAAATTATTTGCATTATCTTATTAAAAAAGTAATGTTCGTGAATAATTTAAATTATTTTAAAAACTATAAAAATTTAAATCTAGAAAGATACATTTTAAATGGTTTCCTGTTACATTGAACACTTTTTTATGTTTAATCTTCCATCTTCTTCATCTATTCTACACATGCTGATGCGTTTACCAACGTTTGCACTAAGAATCATAAGTTGTTTTAAGCTTTCTTTTTCATGCGGTATTGTAACATATTTGGTTTATTTTGCATCGTTATATTTGTGCACGTTAGAAAGTGATATTTCTTATTGTCTTTTTTAAATTTAGAATAATTAGATTTAAATGTATAGAAATATGTTTAACTCTTATCTTATTTACGATATTATGTTAAAAAGTGTATAATATTTTGTCTTACTTTTGTAAGTGAATGTGATGCATAGTGCAAATGAGTTTTTGCGAAGTATGTGATTGTATGAGTGTATATGTGCAAGTGCGCCGTACACAGACGGGGGCGGCCAAATTATAGCAGCAAGATCAAATGTAATTCTTCTAAAATGCAACTAGAAGGTACACTCGTTCACTTGTTCAGAACGAGTATGCGAATGAAAAGGATAGTTACATTCATCTTGACGAGGCAATTAAACGTAAATGCAAATAGAGACAAAATTTTATACCTGATCGAGTGCCTGACATTGGAATGGAGGTGAGGAGCTTAGTGGAATACAGAGTTTAGCACGATTTGTGGAGAATAGATAGTAGAGAATAACACAAAATCAACTCTAAGAAATAAAAATATAATAATTCAAAAGCTATTCAAAATCGTTGAAAATTAGAATATAATGTTAAAAAAGCGAGAAGACGTGGGGAAGATAGAATAATTAAAAATTATTAAGTTCAAATAAACGGGGATGACAAACGCTTAAAATCAAACTCGAGCGTTGCGAGCGGCGCGTCTAGGGGTGAATAGATCCTGGCAACTGTTTCCTTAAGACCTCTGTGTTATCGCTAGAATTTTATAACGCGATTTCTCTTCTTGTTGACGTTTATTGTGAAGCGGATGCACCTCCCGTTCCCGTTCGCATTCACGCCTTCCGTTCGCGGGCATTTGTGAGGCGTCCTGTAGGGCTGTCCACATTTCATCGGTCGTTGACCAGTCTCATCTCGGCGCTCTGTGCATTCCCTCACCCCCTTCCGCTCCCGGGCGGCCGGCGGCGCGAGGGCTGACGGGGACGCCGAGGGCTCTGCGGGAGGTCCCGCGCCAGATGATTACACTGGGCCCCGCGCTGCTGGGGAGAGGTTACTTAGCGTGCCCTCCTCCCCGCGCCCTCCGCGCCCCCTCCAAGGCGGTCGACGGGCGCCTCCCCCGCCACGCCTCCTCCGCCCGACCCGAGCGCCCGCGAACAGAAAATCAGGAAATTTATTCTTCACACTTCCACAGCTCCTTATTGTGTTTACGCCACCGCAAAAAAATGCTCCGACTGCCGCCGCCCCAGCGACCCGACCCGCTCCTCTCCACTCTCTCTTCATCTCCCTCTCTGGGCCCTGTGTTCTCCTCGCCTCTCTCGACCCGACTCGGGAATCTCGTTTATTTTTCCTTTTTTTTCTCGGGTAGAGGGCTCTTCTGCAGTCGTATGTCTGTTGTTTTCGCCGCGCCCTTCTTCCCGGCTCACACCTCGGGCGAGTTCTCCCTTCCGCCGGGTGCGGAGCCGTAGGGGCGGGGCGGGGCGGGGCGAGGCGAGGGAGGGGCGGCGACGGCTTCCTCTGCGAGAGGCAGTAAGCCTCATAAAGCGTTGTAATGCGCGCATTAGGTGGCCGCCCCGCCGCGGGAGGCGCCTCCGTCGCAGTTTCCTTCCTTCCGGTGACGGTGGCGCCGCCGCCACAGCGGTCGGCGGCGGAGTTCAAAAGGAAACAGTTTTACTCGCGTGCCTTTGGGACTTCCGTGCTCTGAGTGCGTTGTGAGGGTGGGTACAGGTGCGGGGTTGCCAGAAGAGATTAAATTTCTCCAAGACTAATGTTTTATTTTATTTTATTACAGCAATTACACGTTAATACAATTGTGTTGGGTTTCGAAGTCAATTGAAGTATTGACAGTACGTTAATATTTTCGTAGTTCCCTGTAACAGAACAACTCTGAACTTTCAACCCCCGTATAATTTAGATAACTGTGGATAGCCTAGATATTGATTATTTCTGCAAGTAGAATTTTTGTAACCCAGTGACCGATTACTATAATTCACTTTCATTACAAATTAAGGTATTCGATCAATTGATTCGGGAATTAAATTTTATTTTAGTGCAGAAAATGACAAATTTTATAAAAGTACACTGAATGAATAAATATTATTTCTGCAAATAAAATTGTAAAGTGTACTAAATTGATGTGAATTACTTAACATCTGCATTGTAAAATCGAAATTCTGAGTATATTTTACATTATATTTTACATACTTCCTAATTTATATTTAAATTAATACATTTCTACAAATAAAATAATGTTTTGTTTATCTAGGAGTTTTAACCTTCCCTGCACCAAATTTAAGGAAGCATTCTCAGTAGAAATGACAGCTGTGGGAAGTGGAATTTATGCTACTTCAAGCATCAGATTTAATAATTTTTATTTTCATAGATAAACAACCTGCTGTTTTTCTGAAGCTGTCCCTATTGTTTCAGATATCTTATTAATAGTAATTATTGCATTGCGATGACATCACACATTTATCAAAAAACATTAAAATTCACCTTTTCCTATAACAATTATCATTCATTGTCTTCTCACACGATCCCTTCGAAGTGCACGAACCCTTTGCCTGGTTCAACTGCAGCACACCCCTCAAACACGTTCTCTCCCTCCACCCCGCAACCACCATTTCGGTTAGTTGCACACTTTACCTTTTCCCCAAGTGCATCGCCCTGCGCGGAGACTCGACATCTTGGCATGCAGAGGGGTCCCGTTCTCCGCCTGCCGCGCGCCTGAGGCACTTATCCGGCGGCGGGAGGGGCCGCGCCCGCAGAGAATCCGCATGCAACGGCGCGCAGTCGTTAGCATGGCCTCCTGCGCCCGCGAGTGCAGAGCAGGAGGGGAGCGGGGAGGGGCGGGGAGGGGGCAAGGGCGCGCGCCCGCTCTGAGAATGTGAATGAGGCTGCGCGCTCCGAAGTGCGAGCGAGCGAGTGAGTATGTGCTGGGTATGCGTATGTATGGTGTGTGAAATGTTGGTTTTAAACTTACTTGTCTTTTTACACCCCACTCGTTTTTGGCCCCCTGTTTCAATATTTTCACTTTGAGTTGTGTAATACCGGAAGATCATTTTCCCCCTTTTTCTGTACGGCTCGATTTGGACCATGAACAAAGATAAAATTCGAATTTTCCAAAATTGTAAAGCAAGATTATCGAAATCTTGTTTTCAAACCCCCCCGAGACTGGCTCCGCAATTATCCAAACCTCTAAAATTCGAGACCCCTGCTGTGGAACAAAATTCATTTTCATCCCCCTCCTTGACCGTTATACCCACGATTCCGTCATTCTTTCGTTCCAATTTAAATGTCACTGAACCAAAAACCTTACCTACAACGCCATTTGAATCGATTAGCCTTGGAGCTTATCCTGTCTAACACACAAATACTTCATCAGTCACTTCCGCATCTTTTTCAACCCAAGTCCTAATCCTGACCGACCTCGACGAGCACGTCCTTTTTGAACCATGTAGAAATGCACGTCGTCCATATTTCATTTTTCACAACCTTCACAAATTTCACATTACTTTCTAAATTCGTCCTGCTTCCAAATAGCTCCAGGCGGATTATTCCAAGGCTAGAGGCGTGCATATTCACCTTCAGGACTAAGCAATTCAAAGGAGGTTCTATCTCTCCTGAATGGACGTGATAGTCTTTAAGACTAAATACTAAACATACGAACGTTACGTTATTGGATAACACTCGTGTCCGTATCCATGAGAAACTAATTTCAACGTTCTGAGTTCAACGCAGGCATGAATAATTTGTATTCTTTCCCGAATTATCCGTCCTTCGCAAATCTTATCGTAAATAAAATTTGCTTCGAAATTTGCGAATCGAAAAATAATTTAAATAAAATTTGATATAATTAAATCTACATAAATCAGATATTTTATTGCTTATGTATTAATAAATTGTGTTTAGAAATACTGATTAGATAGATTAGTAGATTTTTTCATTAGAAAAAGTAATTCAGTTTTTTTTATATGATAGTACTTCCACGAGTCATATATAAACATACGTATATAACACTGATGAGGCAATTGGCATTCATCAAATTATTTTAATTTTAGTTCCACATATAACTCGGTTTAAATCTTATAATATTATCAATTTTAATAGGTATTTGAAAGACCGGCATTCAAATACGCCACCCAATTGCATTGAAAGTACTGTAAGCTGTTAAAAACTTTCAAAAACTGTAGCTTTTTAATTAAAAAAGCCTGTTTCAACGAAGAACAATTTTTAAAAAGTATTTTTATAGTGTTCTGAAACGTATACAAGCTGGAACTACTGAATGGAATGAATCCTTTTTTTCGAACGAAAGTAATCTGAGGATTACCATCGCGCTCATGTGCAATTAAATTCACAATTCTATAGTATTCGAAACACAGCGCACGAAAAAAGTATCAGCTCTGGTCATCAACTTGGCAAACGATGGCCGTAGCCCGTTTGCACGCCTCTAGACGCCCCGTCCCGCCCGTTCGCCCCGTCCCGCCCCGTTCCCGCCCGCGGGCGGCCGCCCTGACTCGCGACGCTCGCGGGCCCGCAGCAGCTGCGGCAGCCCCATGTACCCGGGCGAGGCGGGGGCCGGGTTCGCGGGCGGCCCGGGGCCCGGCCCCCCGCCCGCCGAGCAGACGGAGCCCGTCGACTTCAGCACGGCCAACGAGCCCGTCAACTTCAGCGCGGCTCGCCCCGGCCACCCTGCGGCCGCCGCCGCCGCTGCCGCCGCCGCCGCGGCCGCCGCTGCCGCTGCCGCGGGCTTCTCCGCCGCCCCCTACAGCCGGGAGTCGACGCCGGACTCCGGAGGCGCCGCGGGACCCCACTACCTCGACTCGTATCGGGACGCCAACGGTGAGTTGACTCCTCAGGTGGTCAATTTTCCTTTTCTTTTGTTGTTCTGTGTAGACGATACAACTACAAATATCTCGTATCTACAAATTGTCGAAAACTTGATATTCGTAAAAGTAATTTCCTGTCACAAAATTACTACATAAGCGCATCCTACATCGTAAGTCAGTGATAATTCTTATGTTGTCATATTTCTAGATTTCTTGTTCGCCAAGTGCCCTTAATCTTGTTTTCCACTTTATACAAGGAAAAGATTGAGATGGGACAGAAAGGACATGGATTTGTGGCATATTATTTTTTTTCTTGTTTCATATCGAATGATTTCATCTTATAAAACCCCAGTTAGTGAAAGTTAAGTTATCACTACTAAATACACACTGTGGTTTGCAAATATTTTCATATGAAGAATTTTGTTTCTTTTGACTTCTATTTTAGCCTGGTTGAATACTGACATTTCCTCCAGAGACATTCTGTATAATTTGTTTCAGTAAATATGTGTGTATTTCATCCGAATCTACCAAATTGGATATTGTTTCCCTCGTTTTCGGTTAAAAGGAGCACGTATGTGTGCAAATTGAAGTTTTGAATAAATATATTACGAGGAAAATTTAAAAACTCAATTTTTATAATATTTTGCATTTAAGTATTTTCATTGCATTTTGCAATGGAAATCTGCAGGTGTACATAAATAAAGGAGTGCAATGCATTACTTTTTTTCATACATCGATATCAAAATGCAAAATGATAATCCTGGCCTCTACAAACTGCTATCTTAATTACGTAACAAAAGCAGCAAAGTGCCATTTTAAGAACGAGACCCATCTCGAAGCTAACATGGTGGTGCATCGCAAATTAAACGGATGATTTATTCGGTCGAGCGTTCGGGGTTGTCACAATTCCATAATCCCCAAGAGGGCGAGCGGAATATGCAACAGCCCGCGCGACGTGGTGGTAATTCACAGCGAACCCTCTCCCGCTCCCTCCCCCTCTCCTATCCCTGTCGCCCCTACCCCGCCCCTTCCCCGGGGCCGCACTATGCGTTCGACAGCATGCGCCATTGTAGGTGAAGAGGCTTGCTCTCGAGGATGTTGCCCGTGTTGCTTATCTGAAGATTTTCCTGAAAAATAGCAGGATAAAAAATGAACTGGATAAAAATATAATTGCATTAATTACCCAATACTACCTTACCAAACCATGTTAATTTACAATTCAATTCGCCACACTGAAAGCAATCTAGCTTACTTACATTGAAAATTAAAACGTACAATTACGTACTTTTTGCTTTGGTTATTATTTAGTGTTCCGAGTATACTAAATGTTCATTATTTCCGTAATAGCTTATGCAGACGTGAATTGCGAACGTCAATAAATTCACCTGCAGCTATTTCCACTCATCCAACGTCGCTATCCGAAGGCCTCTCTCTTGAAGTAATTTGAATAAGAACACTTTAAGTCAAACACAAAGCAAATATATTATTCGTAAATTCATGTAATCAGAATCAATCGGCAAATGTTAATCTTCTCCACTTCACGGATATCTTGTTCTTTACTTGAAAACCACCGATTATTTTGTTGAAGTACTTTCTTCAAGCATTCCCTAGCAAACTCGACCCAGTCTCCCTCATCAAACTTTTGTCCATAGACGATACATTTCTCAACTGTTCTTTCTTACGTGTTCACAAAATTTGTACCAAATTTTATATTTTCATTTCGTAACATTTATAACAAAGCTTACCTACTTTTGTATTGTAAAAGAGTTGTTACTTGTTTTGTATAAAAATTTATTATGAAAGAAACAGTAATGAGTTCTTTCAATTTATCTAAAATTACATGAAACTGTCACACTGTGAAGGACGCCATTTGAGCTAAAAAAATTAATAGAGTCAAAGCAAGTAAAATAAGAAGTTCATAATTAGTTTGTAATAAGTATAATGTGTTTTGATTTTATAATGGTAACTTCAAGATATATTTCAATTCATCGCCCACGAAAACGAGTGAACGGCACATGTGGAAACAAAGTGCGGCACATGCGGAACGCTGTGAGCGCTGTAGTCGGCGACCGCGACCCAGGCGACGGAAACGCGAAACCGGAAGGCGCCCGACGACTCCGACCTCTCATCGCTCCCCGCCCTTCCGCCCTCGCCCCTCCCCCTCGCCCCACGCCGCCCCGCACTCGTCCCCCCTTCCCCCGACTCCCGCTCGCCGGGCGCCAGCGGGCGATTCAATGCTGCGCGTCCAGTCCCCGAGGTGCGTTGGCGACGACCACGCCGTGTTCGGCTCGGACATAAGAGCAATCCAGCTTTTTTTCCTCCCTCCGCGACACGCGCGCCCGTGTCGGCGCGCTGGATCGCGGCGGCGCCCCGCCCGCTCCGCGCGCGCGCCGCCGCCGCGCACGCCCGCCCGCGCCCTCGCGACCGTGTGTGTATATATTTTTTATTGCTAGCCGGCGAAGGGGAGGGCAGCGGCGGCAACGGCTGCCAGATAAAGGGCCTGAAAATGAATATGTTGATGCCCTAAGGGCATTGTCGATATGAACCCGCCGTTGCCGCGTGCTCGCGGACGCGGCGGCGGCGGCGGCGCGGCGGCGTGCGTGCTTGCGTGCGTGCATGAGCGAGGGAGGAAGCAGGGAAGGGAGGCTGCGTACAATTGCACTTGTTAACACACGGGCGCGAAGCCCTGTACCGTATGCGCGCGTTGGGCGCACGCGTTCTCTTCTGCTCGTGTTCTGAAAAAAGCTCGGTACAGCCGCGAGGCGAAAAAAGTCCTCCTGCGTAGGGTTCCTGTTAGGGAGCACGGGGCGCTTCTTGTTGCGGTTGTGACGCTCCTAATAGTGTTTCATGCAAGATTAGTATCTTTTAAATACCATGTACATTTGTTTAAAATCATTCGTCACCTCCTACGTCATTAATTGTCTGTGATATTATTTAAAACACGCCTACCTTTCAATTTGAAAAAAATTGACACTCCAACAAATTCAATTAACAAATTCAAAATGTTCAACATATAATTCAATTATATATATATATATATATATAGAGAGAGAGAGAGAGAGAGAGAGAGAGAAAGATCACTACTTATATACTTGATTGACGTAATCATTTTCGGAAAATGATATTCTATTGTCTAAATTGACAGTCAGCATTTGAAGAAACACATATGATCAAAAAAACAACATATGTGGTTAAAAGATTAAAATGGATTGATTGACTTTAGAGTCTTGACTTTAGAGTTTATCTTCGAACTCTATGGCTTTTTGCTGCAGTTCTTTCGAGCGGCACTGTACTTGGGGCTGCGCACAGGCGCACGGGCCCTGAGGAACGCCGGTCGCATGTTCGCATCGCCCCCTCCTCCGTCCCCGCCTCCACCACCGCCCGCAGGTACACGACCGCCGCCCCCTTGCCCGCCGTTGCGCCCATTTTTAATTTCGGCCGCCTCGCCCCCGAATGGCCGCCCGCCGCCGCCCACCGCTTCCAAAACAGAAGCGGGCGGACAGTCTGCGAGGTGCTTTTCGTTTAAATGGATATCTCGCCTCACCCGGCAATGTGTAGTGTTTACCCAAATACGCTCACCAGCAAGAGAGTTGCCGTTGGTTTTGTGAGATGGTAAAATATTAAAAGAAGCATCAAAAAGTTGTGTGAATGTCGGAGTACTGTGATTACAATTCGTGAATTCCAATTTACAGAGCAAAGTTCCTGAAATTATTTTTTTCTTTCTCCAATAACAAAATTCAAGGAAAGTTTGAATCGCTTTAAGTACTATAAATATTTTCCTGTCAAATATTTAATAAAAGAAATTCGGAAGAGTGAATTGATAGACGTCCATGCCTTTTGGTTCTGCAGCAAATCCTCAAGTGGAAACAGAAAATTTCAATCCAACGCATTATAATATAAGTAAAAAAATAAAATACTTAACTATTGGAGAATATCTTACCATTATTTCTATTTTAACACAGCCTATATTTAACATACAAGAACAATTTTCTCACAAATTTCTCCAAAATTAAGAAATGTCGAGTAATAGTAATAACTATACGTTTAGTTAACGAATATTGTAAAATGTCTATTGATAAACGTTATTTGATTACGTAGCTCGCAAAAAAACTGATTAAATAGGCATGTACGGAACTGTGTGGTCTCTTTCAGTCCATTTCTACTCATTTCCGTCGCTAGTAGCTCGAAGCGAGTAAATAAAACTCCTATTATCCCCACAAACGTGCCCTAAACGGCCACTGGATCGCCTGTTTCACTGCAGTCCCTGCGTCACTGAACCCCAGCACCCCTCCCCCAAGCAAAAGTCCCTCCCACCGCCATACCCGGGCCACGCCTCTTTTGGTCCCCCTCAACTCTGCATCCTTCTCTTCACTGCTGCAGGCCTTTATTTTTACCGCCAGATCTTTCTTTAATTCACTACCACCACAACTTGCTGTAACATGTGCTATTGCACGTTCCCGTTGCCTATTGCACCTCTCCCGCCCACGCTTTCTACCTCTTTTCCGTTAGCGACTAGCATCTCCACCAACACTCCCTTCATTCGTAGCCTCCGCCACACGAACGCCTCGCGAAACGCCCGCATCCACCCCCGCCGCGAGGCGACGCCCGACCGTCGGGCGAGCACGTGCGCTTAGCAAACATCCGCAGCCTCATGGCCCAGCTCCCCGCTACATACCGCGCAACTCACTCTCACCGCCTCCATCCCAGCTCCCCGCTTTCTCCATTTCCCTCCACACCTCCAGCACTCCGCCTAACTCCACCTCCAACCGACCCTATCACGCCTCTCCCCTTTCTCCTCCCTCCGCATCCACCCCTCATCCACCACGTCTCCCCGCATCCATTCCGTATCAACACACGGACGTCCTGCATCCACCCCCCACACATCTCCCACTTCATCACCCATTCCGCCTCCACCCCGCTACCATCCACCTTCCACCTCTCAGCCGACCCGTGTCCACCCTCGCCACGCACCCCTCCACCGCCGCATCCCTCAAATCCCCTCCCTCCGGCGCG